GGTGCTCAGGCCTTGGCAGGGGCTGCCCAGGGAGGGTTGGAGTGCCCATCCCGGAAGGATTTAGGAGAATTCTTGGTTCCCTAAACCCTTACAATAACCAGAGGCAAATCTTTGCCAAGGGTTTTATTATCCCACGCAGGGAGAGAGAGAAGCAGGAATTTGTCTGAGTGTTGGTTGGTAGATGTGAGCCAAAGGTGAGTGTCCTTCCCTGAGGGGTGCAGGTGTGGAAAGGCTGAGTTTGCTGAAGAAGGGATCTCAGGAAGCTGATCCTGTGGGTTTTGTAACATTTATAAAATCACGGAATCCTGGATTCACTTGGGCTGGAAAAGCCCTGTGAGACCTTTGAGTCCAACCTCCCCCAGCCCTGCCCAGGCCACCACTGTCCCTGTCCCAAAGTGCCACAAACCCTGCAGGGATGGGGAGTGCCCCCCAGCCTGGGCAGCTGTGCCAGGCGTGGGCAGCCCTTCCCAGGTGGGAATTGTTCCCAGTGCCCACCCTGAGCCTGCCCTGGGGCAGTTCGGGGCTGTCCTCACTCCCTGGGCACTGCTGGGGCCAGGGTGACACTGGGCTGTCCCAAAGTGCTGGGGACAAAGCTGGCACTGGGGCAGCAGGGGAGGGCAAGGAGCTGCTCTGGCTGAACATCCTGGAGGGAAGCTCAGTGCCAGGGGTGTTCCTGATTGTTAATTAGTGTTTAATCATGTGGTTTGAGTTGGGAGGGACCTCAGAGCCCACCCAGTGCCACCCCTGCCCTGGCAGGGACACTGCCACTGCCCCAGGGTGTCCCAGTGCCCAGCCTGGCCTTGGGCACTGCCAGGGATCCAGGGGCAGCCCCAGCTGCTCTGGGCACCCTGTGCCAGCCCTGCCCACCCTCACAGGGAACAATTCCTCGTTCCCAATCTCTGTCCCCAGTCAACCCAGGGATCCATTCCCTGTGCCCTGTCCCTCCAGCCTTGTCCCCAGTCCCTCAAATGAACAAATTCAGGCAGAAATAAATGTGGGTATTTTCAGCAGGCGAGGAGTTCATTTAGGAAAATGAGGGTTGTAAGTTTGGAGGAATCACATCTGTGTGCACAATTTAAATTCTCTCTGGGGTCAGTGAGTGACACAAAATCAAATTGTGATTTCCATAGGGTTTCCAAGGAAGTAAAGCAGAGGGGTGGGATGAGCTGAGCTTTCAAGGTCCCTTCCACACAAACCCTTCAGGATCTGATGACATTGGGGTGACCAAGCTCCCGTTCCCTGCATCCAGAGGCTCTCAGAGCCTTCACACAATCCTGCTGCTCCCAGGATGGAGAAACGAGAACTCCAGGGCTGGAAGGAATGAGGAATGCCCAGGGCAGGCTGGACATCAGCAGGGATTGACGCCGTGGTAGTAACTGGTGCTAATTATCACTAATTGCCAGTGGTGGTGTTTGCTGTAACTCCTTCTGAGCCAGTGGCAATCTGAACTTCCATGTGAATGCCCCTGGGAGCTGGTCCCAGTTGCACTTCGGAGCATTGGACAGCAGCAGTGATTAATTCCACAGCAGTAATTAATGCCACAGCAATAATTAGCCAGGGCTGCCCTTTCCTGGGGTGTCAGTGAGGAGCAGGAGGAGCTGCCAGGTAATGGCTGAGCTGCCATGACCTTGGAATTATGGAATTTTTAGGGTTGGGAAAGACCATCCCCAGGGTTCCATGTCACTGCTGGAGCTTGGTGAGAGCAGCAGCATTTTCAGAATTAATTTTGTAACTCAGTTTGGGGTTTAAACCCCATTTTTGGTCATTCCTGTGGGTGTCACCAGCACTGCCAAGGACCCAGGGTCACCAATCCCGTGAGGCCATTTAATGTGAGAATCAGAAAAACAAAAACTTCTGCAGGCACTAAAGAGTTTAATCTGCAGCCTTAGAGGACACTGAGGTTAATGTAAACATGTAAATGTAAAAATACAGTGTAAAAATGCAAATGTAAAAATACAATGTAAAAATTTAAATGTAAAAATACAATATAAAAATACAGTGTAAAAATGCAGTACACAGACATTTAGCAGAAAAATCATAAATGTGTGTTTCTGTAGTTGTAAGCAAGAATATCCCTTAAGTAAGAGGGAAACTGTGTTGGGTAAAATAGTGAAGGGTTTATCATGAAAAGGTGAGGCTGTATGGAATAAACTGAGTTTAGAAATCATAATAAAAGCATGTGTGCCTGTGAGTTAAAGTCCATTAAATAAAAGTATCCATAGTACAGCAGAAGTAATAGGTTAAAAAAGTAAAATAAATCCTGTGGCAACTGTTAGTTTAGAAAGTTACATATTGCCGTGTAACAAAGAAACTTGTGACTGCTTTTAAACCACAGCCCAATTCTTGCTCCTCTAAAACCTCACAGCCTCTGAGATCAATATTTATCTAGGAAATAAATAATTCTTGG